GGATTTTGGGTTTTGGGTTTAGGGTATGGGGTTCTTGTTTGCTGAGGGTCTTCCGACTTTACCCCCCCCCTGGTTTCTGGGACCCTACACCTACCCCAAAAACCTAAGGAACCCTACCCCAAAACCCTGAGCCCCTTAAAGGAACCCTACCTCAAAACCCTAAGCCCCGTAAAGGAACCCTACCCCAAAACCCTCAGCCCCTTAAAGGAACCCTACCTCAAAACCCTAAGCCCCTTAAAGGAACCCTACCCCAAAACCCTAAGCCCCTTAAAGGAACCCTACCCCAAAACCCTGAGCCCCTTAAAGGAACCCGACAGAACCCCAAGGTTCTGGGCTCTGGCTTTTGGGGTTTGGGGCTCGCACCGCAAAGTTTAGGGTTTAGGGTTTAGGTCTGAGGCAATAGGCCCAAAGCTTCAAAGCCTGGCCTGCAAGGTGTTCAAGTGTTAGGATTCGGGGTTCCGGGTTTAGGGTTTAGGGGGTTCATGGTTTAGGGCTTAGGGCTTGTAGGGCTTTGGGCTTAGGGTTTAGGGGGGCTTAGGCCAGTTTGGGGTTCTTAGGCTTTTAGGGCTTAAGGGAGCCACCAGGCCGCCCTTAAAGCCCCATTGGACTCTGCATGCAAACACCCGTCGGAGTGTCGCTACGCCCTTCACACACACTTGGTTCGGAGCAGTGACGGGCACCTGAAACGCAGAGATATGTATAATTCACGTATGGTTGAGGGCTTGGGGTCTACGGTAGCTTAATTTAGGCCACCATAACCCTAAACCCTAAACCCTAAACCTACAAGCAACCTTAAACCTTCAAGACTTCAAGCCCTACGCAGTCCCCGAAAGACCCAAAGAAGTCACAAACGCACTACTGCTCACATTTCGGGTTATAAGCTCCCTAAACCCTAAAACCCTAAACCCTAAAACCCTAAGACCCTAAACCCTAAGCACCTGAGTTTTTTCCGGAGAAGCTTTTCCAGCAAGAGATGTCACTTCAAAGCAAAACAATGCAGCCTGCCAGCAAGTTTCACGTGAGTCAGGGTCAAAGACTCGACTTAAGACATACGAAGGCTACGCCTGTATATGGGTAGTTCTCTAAACTAGGGTCCCTTTTAGTCCTTTTTATAAGGGTGCCGTACTATCTTGGGGACCTAAAAAGGGACCCTAATGTAGAGAACTACCCAGATGCGTGCCTCTATATCATGCCATCCTAGAACGCTCTGCTTCACCTTGGCCCACGTGCAGAGTGGAAAACACCCCGCACTGTGTCTTGAAGAAGTGAGGCGGTACCAACAGCAAGCGTCTGTGTTTGATCAACACCTTCTGAACTTCAAACCCCGCAGCTTTGGGGTTTAAGCTTTTGAGTTCGGGATGTTGGATTAGGGTCTTGAGTTTGGGGTTCAGGATTTTTGGGTTTTTCGGGTCAGGGCCTTGGGGCTTAGGGCCTAGGCTCTAAACTCTAACCTCAAACAACTGATTAGGGCCTTCATATGCGGCTCCCCCTCGTAGTCCTTATTGGGCGAGACGAATCTGAAGATCTTCCCATTTTTAAGGACTTCCTATATCAGGAGATGGGAAGTTATTTAGGGTTGAGGTAACCCCTAAACCCCAAACCCAACCGAGTCTTGCTTGGAAGCTCTTGAGGGCGGGGGCAGTTCATCCGTCTAGTCATGGACATACTCTAAAGGAACTTGTGGGCGGCAGCTTAGAGCATAACTGTGCAGGGGGCTCTCCGAGGCTCTAAAACAGAACACAGTGCCAGGGGTTTAGGATTTGGGGTTTTTAGGGGAACACAGTGCCAGGCAAAATCGATAATGGCAGGGCAACGACGTCTCCTTCCAAGAGGGAGCTCGCAGCCAACTTGGTGAATATCACTCCGCTCGATACGCAGCTTCCTTCCTAGCCTGCCTTTGATGATCCCAGGAAAGATCTGGCCACTATGTCAAGTTCGGGGCCTAAACCGGAGATCTTAACTCCAAGGAGGTTATGACAGTGAGACCGCAATACATAAAAACTGGGCTTGGGGGTTTATTATACCATAAGACCCTCAGGGAATAGACATGAGTGCACTTACTCACTATGCCGGCCTGGACGCTGCGTTGCGATGGGAACCCTAAACCCTAAACCCTAAACCCTAAACCCTAAACGCTAAACCCAAACCCGGTTGCAGTACCACGGGAATCCTCAATGAGTCGTCCCTCCACAAAGTCGGATGCTTTCTGAGCTCAGCTATGAATACTCAGGTGCGACATAAGGGTTTCGGGTTTACCTTAAGAACCCAAAACCTACTTTTTTGTAGGGTCCCTATAAATCCCATA